AAAAATAAAAAAAAAAAGAATAATTTGTGTTAAGAATCAAATATACAGAGTTAAACAAGCAAAAAAAAAAAAACATCTAGAAGACAAAAATCCAAGTAGCATCTCAGATGCAGAGCAATTTTGTAAAGTCAGATAGCCACTGTGATCACCTGCAGCTTCTCAGATCATTCTAGCAAGTGTCTCCAGGTACTACACTGTCTGTATAATGGTGTTTGTCTGTTGTTGTCTGTATAATAGTATTTCCCTAAATAAAGGGCCTTGAATGCACATTCAGCATGTTTCCTGGGAGTAGAAGTGAAGATATTTTCATTTTAACTCATGAATTAATTGGTCAAAGAAGTATGTAAAGCTAAATAAAAGCATATCTGTTAGAAATCCATAGCAATGACTGTTGACAAGATGTGCTTGGATCTTGTTTGCAATATCTGCCTTGGGTAGTGGAACAAAAGTAGCAATCTCACAGGCTCTCCTGTGTCTGTTCTGGAGGTGGCTCTGTGGCAGTGGCATTAGCATTTGCAGTTGAATTCAAGACTTCTCCAAAATCACCACCAGCAGGCTTGGCTCCCCCTACTTTAGACTTTAAGTTTTCGACCTTTTCTTCAAATGACTTGAAAGTTGGGAAATTTTTTATGTCTTCCAGCTTTTTGGTGATAACAGAGCCAACAGATGAAAAGGCCACTGAAGCCTTCTGTCTGGCCTGAGATAAGGTTTCGGAGGTCTTCCTGTATGCAGATGTGGCTGTCACACCCTGCCACCCTTTGGGAATGTTCTGCTTTAGCTCCTGTAGTGAACCAATCCCAAGTTTCCACTTGATCTCTGCTAGATGCTTCTCTTTTGCTGCTAACACTTGAGACAGAGTTTGGATTTCTTCTTCCACCTTTGCCAGCTCTCTTCTCAGCTCATCCTGCTCCTCTTCTGAGAGTGTCTTGGTGGTGCTGAGCACGGCTGTAGCATCTTCTCCTTCCTCAGGTACTGGGTCTGTCCTCAGCAAACCAAGTTTCTCAGTAGGTGATCCAGGTGGAGACGAATTCCCACTAGGGGACAGGTAGGGGTAGTTTTTGTTCACTCCTGCATGGAAATCGAATGGCAACTGGTAGTCTTCATATGAGTCTGTGTCTCTGTGATTAATCCTAGGCAGAGGCAGAATGCATGGCTTTATGGCTGCCCTTGAAACTTACTTATTAATAAAGAATCTACCAACTAAAAAATCCTAGTACCTGATGGATTCAATACTGAATTCTACAAAACCTCTAAGGATATTATATCACTAATATTCCTCAAGCTCTTCAAAGAAATTGAAAGGGATGAAGTGCTCTCAAATTCATTTATGGAAGCCAGAGTCACCATGATGCCCAAACCAGATAAAGACCCAACTAAAAACAAAAGTATAGGCCAATCTCTTCAATGAACTTAGATGCAAAGTTCCCCCTCCAAAAAAATTAGCAACTAGAATGCACCACATTATCAAAAAGATCATGATCAAGTAAGTTTCATCCCAGAGATGCAAGGATGGTTCAATATGTAAGACAATAAGTGTAATACATCACATAAACAGGAGCAAGGTCAAAAACCATATGATCATATCAATAGACACAGAAAAGACTTTCAGTCAAATCTGACATCTTTCATGATAAAAGCCCTGAAGAAAACAGGTATAAAAGGACTATACCTGAGTATGATAAAGGCTATGTTTGACAAATAAGTAGCCAATATCATACAATGGAGAAAAACTAAGAGCACTCCCCTTAAAATCAGGAAAAAGTCAAGGTTGTCCACTATTATGACGGAGCCCGCCGTCACTTGTCGAACAGTACCTGAATGGGGGAGTGAGGATGAAGAAAAATAAAGACAAAGAGATAGAGTTGGGAGGGCTCCCAGAGACTGAGCGCCCAAGTTTATTTTTCTCCCCTCTTTTATACAGAAGGTGAGTTTGGTTGTTAATCATGACCCTTATCCAGAGACACCTGCTTCCTTGTTTTCTAGTTCTTTGGGAATTCCCCACCCTCATGGGCTTCCTTGTTTCTCGGGGTTACAGAATGTTCATCACGTTCCAGGGCAATCTAATTCGTCAAGGACGTGGTTCCTCATAACATAGTCTCCTTGCTCTATACAATTGAGGGTAAGATTTAACATGGAGCCTCTATGGCTAACACCGCTCTCCACACTATTACCTCTTCTGTTCAACACAATACTTGAAACATTAGGCAGAGCAATTAGGCAAGAGAAAGAAATATCAGGTATACATATAGGAAAGGAAGAGCTCAAACTATCATTGTTTGTAGATGACATGATACTCTACATAGAATACCGAAAAAGCTCCAGTAAAAACCTTATAGAATTAATAACCAACTTCAACAAAGAAGCAGGATACAAGATCAACACACAAAAATCATTAGCATTTGTATACACTAGCAATGAACAGAATGAGAAGGAAATTATGAAAACAATACCATTCACAGTAGCTTCAAGAAAAATGAGATATCTAAGAGGTAACCTAACTGGGGAAGTGAAAGACCTCTAAAAAGAACACTACAGTACTCTGAAGAAGGAGACTGAAGAGGACATCAGAAAATGGAAAGATGTCCCCTGCTCCTGCATAGGCAGAACCAAATTGTCAAAATGAACATACTTCCAAAACTGTTACACAGATTCAGTCCAGTCCCAATCAAAATATCAACAGCATATTTTACAGATCTAGTGAAAACAATCCTTAAATTCATATGGAGCTAGAAGAGATCCAGAATAGCAAAAGTAATTTTAGGCAATAAGGACAAAGCAAGTAGCATAGCAATACCTGACTTCAAGCTATACTACTAAGCAACAGTGATTAAACCAGCATGGTACTGGAACAGAAACAAGCACATGGATCAGTGGAACAGAATTGAGGATACAGAAACTTCCCCAGACTTATTAAATTATTAGATCTTTGACCAAGGGGACAAAAGGATAAGTTGGAAGACTGATATCCTATTCAAAAAGTGGTGCTGGGAAAACTGATGATCTGTTTGCAAAAGAATGAAACTGGACCCTTATCTCTCATCATATACTGAATTCAAATAAAAATGCATCAAACATGTAAACATTAAAACACGAACATGAAACCTAATGGAAATAAAATAGGTAAAACACTTGAAGACACAGGTGTAGGAAAGGATTTTCTAAATGAACCTCAATCGCACAACAAATAGCAGCAAGAATCAACAAGTGGAATTATATCAGACTAAAAGTTTTCAGTACAACAAAATAATCAATCAGTACAGTGAAGAGAAAACCTACAGAATGGGAAGATTTTTTTCCAGCTACTCCTCAAAGGACTAATATCTAGAATATACAAAGAACTAAAAAAATTTAAACTACCTAAAATTAAAGACCCAGTTAGGAAATGGACATGAGAAATGAACAGACACATCACAGAGGAAGAAATACAAATGGTCAACAAATATATAAAAAAAATGTTCAACATCTCTGGCCATTAGGGAAATGGAAATTAAAACAATGCTAAGACTCCATCTTACTACAGAAAGAATGGCAATCATTAGGAAATCAAACAATAACAAATGGTGGCATGGCCATGGTGAAAAAGAAACCTTCCTGCATTGTTGGTGGAAATGCAAATTGGTACAACTATAATGGAAATCATTATGGAAATTTCTCAAATAACTGAAATTAGAAATTTCATGCAACCCAGCTATCCCCCTGAGAGGAATCTTCTCCAAAGAGTTTAAGTCATCATACTATAGTTACAGGTGCATACCAATGTTTATAGCAGCACAATTCCTAATAGATAAATCCTGGATGCAGCATGTATACCCATCAACAGCCAGTTGGATAAAGAAAATGTGGTATCTATATATAATAGACTATTATTCAACTATTAAGAATGACAGATTTTGGCCTGGAATTTAGCTCAGTGGTGCTGCTGCCTGCCTTGCAAATATAAGGTCCTGAGTTCAATCCCTGGCACCAAAAAAAAAAAAAAAAATGACAAATTTGAGACAGTTGTAGGGAAATGGATGAACCTGGAAAATATAATGTTGACTGAAATAAACCAGACACACAATATTAAATATCATATGGTATTTTTCATTTGAGTCAGGCAAAGTACAAAGAAAGAAAATGATAAAGGATGGATAGAAGTGGACCAGGGGTGGATTTATTGCAATAAGGAAGTGGTCCAAGAGAGTAAGGTTGAGAGGTGAGAAAGAAAGCAAGGGGAAATAACAAGAATAAAGTTGTGCCATGTACATGAACCTAATAACCCCAATTAATGTTAACACTATATGCCATAACATGAACTAAGACAAATAATATTAACAAGTATGAAAAAGGGGATAGGGGAACTGGAGGTGAAGCGGGGAGAGAAAGGGAAAGGGAAGGAGAAAAGGAAAGGAAAAAAACTAATATGTACATGTAACCACTCTCCAAGTTGATTGCAAACTGCATGAGTTGCAAACATATACTAATAAAATTTTTTAATATTTTAAAATTAATTCAAATAAAAGTTTATGAACAAGTACATATTATGATGTACTTGTACAATATGTGTTGGTCTGCTACAGCTACCACAACAAATACCACAGACTTGGTGGTTTAAACAGCAAAAATTTATTTCTCACACTTCTGGAGGCTAGAATGCCAAGATCAAGGTGCTTTTAGGATTGGTTTCTGGTGAGGGTTCTCTTCCAGGCTTATAGATGGCTATCATCTTTCTGTGTGCTTACAACATGGCCTTTCTTCTGTGTGGGAGGTGAGGAGAAGAAGAGAGAAGAGAAAGGGAGAAGAGAATAGAGAGAGGTAGAAGAGAGAGGAAAAAGGAGAGAGGGCTAGCATATTTTCCTCTACTTATAAGGACACCAGTCCTATATAATTGAGGCCCCACCCTCATAACCTCATTCAACCTTTATTACTTCCTTATATCCCTATCTCACAGAGGAGGTTGTGGCTTCAACATGGGTTGGAGGAAGATACAATTTACTTTATAACAGTATCCTAGAGTTCCCTGAAACATGGAGGAAAACATGGAGGAATGTAGTCCATTCAGACAGTTACGTGTACCTATGAGAAAATATGTTCAGCAAAGTACCAGTGCTTTCTTTTTTTTTTTTTTTTCCTGTACTGGGACCAGTGGTTTCTTTAACATGACTGCACCGTAACTCAGGTTTCCCAACTCTGTGGGGTCTTTCCTACTACAACAAATGAGATGTTTTTCTGCTTTTTGTTCTTATAAATTTTGACCTAAAAATTTCCCTCATTTCCCATGCTGTTTCCCACCTAGGAGTCATTTTTAACTTAACAGTTTGAAAACATCTGTTTTTCCCAAGAAGCTGTCAAAGAAGTAAGATTAAATCTTAGTTCACACTGGACTCAGCATAACCCTGGCACATTTCATGGAACAGCATACAATGAACTCTGGAAAGTCATTGTTTTCTGGGCCTTGGCATCACTAGTAAATGGGACTGGCTCTTCTTTCCCTGCCAAATGGCTGGACTGATGCAGTGGAACCACAAAACCCTGCAGCTCTAGCTTAACAGAGAACTAAGATGTACAATCCTGTGACAGGATCTATTTCACCCTTTCTTCGTGGGATTCTATGCCTCACCCTCTCATCACTCAGTAATTAGCAGAAATACGCTTTGAAAGATATTATTCCTGTCCTCAGTCAGAACCATTTTCCATTCCTAGGAAATAGTGATGGTTTCAACACTATACTGGCAGAGTCAATTGCCCTGGCTTTACTTAGGGCATTCCAGGAAATCCTGGTCTAACTGAAGATTTTGCCTGTGTGATTATTTTTGCTGTTTGTTGATGCACAGTCACATACGACAAAAGTCACTCTTTCAATAAAAGTGTACATACAATTCAGTGATTTTTAGTACATCTATCACTACAATTTTTAAATATTTTCATTGCCCTGAAAAGAAGCCCTGTTCCTGTTAGCATTCCTCTCCACTCATGCTAGCACAAAGCAACTACTAACTTACTTTCTGTTCTTATAGATTTACTTATTCTGGATATTTCTTATAAATGTAATAATAAAATATGTGGTTTTATGTCTTTTGGCCTTGGTTTCTTTCACTTAGCATAATGGTTTCATCCTTGTTGCACATATTAGTATTTCATTCCTTTTAAT